CATCTTTTCAAATATTAACAAGAGTTTCCAATCGTACGAAATAAAACTTGGAACGTTTCTCTATCAAACAAAAACACAACCTTGAAGTTTGGCTAAGAAATGGCGGAGTTATTAAAAAACATTTTCTCGCCGGACTTTTGGGACACCCTGTATAGAATCTGCATTCAATGCGCATCATAATTATGAAAAAATAATCATAGAAACCTATGGTTTCGAAAATCGTAGATGAAAACTTTTGTCAGAAAGATTATACACTCAGCTCTGACCTTCGCTATTTCACTTATTTGTGCCCTTTTTACTTCGCTTCTATTTTCAAGCAAAACTAATAACATGTTTGAGATCAGCAAACATAACTGAGTCGAATTGCATACTTAACATTTGGTTTTCGTTCTAGGTTAACGGTGAGTGTATAATCTTTCTTACAAAAGTTTTCATCTACGATTTTCGGAACCATAGGTTTCTATGATTATTTTTTCATAATTATGATGTACATTGAATGCAGATTCTATGGTAGAAAGAGCCTCACTCTTCTACGTATGTTTCAATTATGAGTGCTCGTCCTCAATGAATTTCCAGAATCACAAAATAGTTAACCTTCATACTTTGACTGGATAGTCTACAGTTGTTGAAGAGTATTTGCTGTGAGTTTGAAGTCGAATTGATGTTCCTAGAATGAGTTATGAATTTGTCTTGGAAAGGTCCTCGTTTTCTACGAACCTCATTTTCAGGGACCTCGCCCATAAACTAGATGTATCGCACTGACTACTAACAGCCAACTCACAAAATATTATATCGTGGTTAGAGTAGAGTCGTGGCTACATTTTAGTAAGAAGAAAAAGTTTTTGTTTCTCTTAGGTCAGGAGCTATTGATATTTTACGGAAAAGACATAAATCACTTATATCTTACAAACCATCTAGTAAACGAGGCCCAAACTTGGTGGATGATCAGCATTTGGCAAGAGCTATGACCACACAAAATTAGAAGTCCCTAGCTATTATGGTTCTTGAGTTACAGGAGGGGTGCTACTTTTGACGAGTACTGTAAATGAATTCATGCCAGATAAAAAGGACTAGAGATTATCATTGTTCTTTTTGTGCTTACCGACAAACATCCATAGTCCAAAACGAATCCATGTTGCCGGTTGTAATTTCAATATTAAATAAATATTAATTAGTACACTGAATATAGGCACGAATGGAATGAGTGGAGCCTAAATGAAACATAATCGTTAGTGGTATCTTTTAAGTTTACTACTATTTAGATCTTAACAACGCCATACCTGTACACTGTACAAACAACGATAGAGAAATTATTTAGAAATTTGCATCACAATATATTGAATCTAACTTACGATCCAAAAGTAACTGGATAAATGTCAAACATTATTTCTGCATATTTCCAATATCCTATAGAATAAACTTTTCTCGGTTAGAAAGAGAGCAATTATTTTTCTTTCTTTTTCTAAAACACATTTTCTCAAACAGCATTCAATTATGCAAACTAGCATTAGTTTTAACCTTTAGTAGTAACAATATTTTTTGAGCCATGAGCGAAGAAATTTTCTCGATGTAGCGTATTTCTCATGTAAAATAAGGCTTTCTACTAAAACTGAATTTTACAATAGGTCTGTTTTTGCTAATAAGGAATTACTGAGAAATTCTTAAAGTAGAGTGATCGATAGAGTTTTGCACGGACTACATTCTTATTTATTTGCTTTTCAAAAACGCTTTTAGTTTTTAGTTTGAGATTTAATATGCAGAAATAATGTTTGGCATTTATCCAACTACTTATTCAGATTTTTCTCTATAAAATCAAATACGAATGAAGTGAGAAAACAAGAATCCGTCAGTATACAGACTCGACGGTTAAGCGCTGAATTACTGCATTCCGACACACAGTTTCTGATCCTTTCTTTCTCTGGACAGTGTACAAACTGAAGATTTCTAGTTCAGACCAGTGCATTTGCTAGTTTGAGTCAAGACCATTGAGTTCAATGGACTCTACAATTTTTTGTTTACATGCACATGTTCTATAAAACTTAAGCTTTTATTTTCTTTAGATTTTAGATTTAAGAAAAACTATTCGCATTCTTTTCTAAAACAGATGCTATGATAAAGTATCAAACCTACTTTTAAAAGACAAATCTCTGTTGTTCTACAAAAGACATAAAAAAAAATGCTATACTCAAAATTGTAAACTATTCATCTGCAATTAATCATAATATTGTACCGCTATCATCAGAAACTTATTTATTACTAACGCAGCTGTGCTACAACAATCATCTAAATTCTTAAAGAGTTTCACTAAAAAATATTTAGAATTTTTCAGAAAAACTAAATGACTAATAAAACAAGATCAGATGGTCTAAACTAAGTCCGACTTTGGATACAGTTTATATGGAAAGCTGATGGATTAGTAGTTACAATTTAGGACAAGAGGTTGAATACACATACTCGATGATTCATAAAAAGTCTTGAAACTGTTGTTGATTTTTCGAAGACATGAGATTAATACTCTTATATATTCGGTATGTCATAATTGGAGGTTTGATAGGAAATACTGTTTAGAATTCACAAAATCAACATCAATGAAAAACATTTGACAACTAAATGAACTTTTATACTACATTTATACGAAAGCAAACGGTACAAACATTCATACGTTCATCTTCGGTTTCTACAAACCTCATGGTAGGATAACTAAAAATAAAAAACAACTTTTTTTATTCAGTTTATTCTAACACAAGATAGCTTACTTCAAAATATAATGATTTTTGATTTTTTGGCTGCACTGCAATCATAATAAGAAATATTAATTCCAATATGCAAGATAATGAGAAAAAGAAAACTACAAATGCATCTTTCCGGAGAAGTCGATCACCAGCAAATATTTGAATGGCACAAAGTATAAAACCATTCACAGCTATAATAAAAACATACATTTTTTTGTTGTAAATGTGCATCGCCAATAACAATTATTAACACTTACTTATTGCAGTAATAAGAATCTTAGTAATAGATGCTGTTAAGGCAGTTGGATGATGTTGTGATGGACGAATTAGTTCTTGCCAAAGTGGTTTATAACTAAGATAATCAGAACTAATTAATGGATCATCAACAGGCTGATACCTAAAAACAAAAAACAACTCAATTCTATTATAAATGAAGATGCAGATCGATAAAAATATGCGTTTACCGTAGAAATAAGACTGATATAGACACAAGACTGTAGGCGAGCAAGGTTCCGATAGACATCATTTCCACAAGTTTTTCCAAATCAAATATAAGAGCCATAATTGCTAGAATAAACAAACAAATAGTACATACTGTCATATCACGAATATCACAATTTTCTAGGTGATTGATTTAATAAATTTGTTTTACAATCCCGCTTTTTCATTACAGACTATTGTGATAGATTTATTTCAAAAATCGAGAACTCAAGTAAAAATAAAGGCAGAAAAGCAAATTCTTACCCGCAGCTACGCCGCCTAAAATTGTTGCAAAAATAGGCGTCTGATACCTATTTAAAGAAGAATAAAGAAAACAATATCAAGTTGTAAAAGGTTCGCGTACTTCGGATGAATCCATGCAATAAAACGAAATATGAGACCATCACTAGCTATTGCATAGAGCACACGCGGTAGCGGCAGTAATGAACCAAGTAACGATGTAAATATCCCTATAGATGTAAAAGGAAGATTTTACAATAGTGCATGCATAAAGCTACGGATCTAATTTACCGGCAAGTGCACCAACTCCAACGATGTATTTGAAAACAGGCAACCCGACATAAGCAAAAGCTGTTGGTAAACCCGCATCTTTATCAATCAAATAATAGGGAACCTTTTAGAAGATAAAAAAAAAATCACAATTTCACACGTTCTTTCATAAAAGGTACGTTGTGTCTCTTACCATTAAAGTAATAGCAAATGATACACCACAATAAACAAGTAAACAAACCAGTAATGTAAAACAGATACTGATTGGAATGGCCCTCTGCGGATTCTTTGTCTCTTCACCTACAAATAAAAATTATCGAGAAAATTTTATGAATAACTCAGAAAAATCGCTAAGAGGAATTTAGCTGTTTCCAAAGTATGATGAGCTATAATCACCTGTTGTAGCAACCAAATCAAACCCTACAAATGCGTAGAAACATGTCGCTGCACCAGCCAATGTTCCCGAAAAACCGAATGGAAAAAATCCGCCTGTTCCCGCATTTCTCGTATGGTTTGTTACATTGTAGATCTATATAGACATAAATAAAAGTCTAAAATAGAAGAATATAAAAGAAACTAGTCTAATATACTTCTTGAGGAGACAAATGCCAGTTATGAAAATTTGCTTTTGTTAAACCAACAACAATTACAATCAAAACCACTGATAAATTAACGAATGTAAAAACGTTATTTAACATTGCCGATTCTTTAATACCAAGTACAAGAAAAGCTAGAGAAGTAATCGAATAAATATACTAATTAATACTGTGCTTAAATCTCATTTCTGACTCACATACCTGTTAATAACAAACACAAACCCATAGCAAATACATCTGCATATTCAGCGAAGCCAGTAACTTTAATACTCAAATGAGCTCTGAAAGCGTGCTTCATTGAATAACTAATCAGGGAATCAAAATATGCACTCAAAGCTAAAAAGAAATGAAAAAAACAATAGAATATCTATGAGAAAAAAACTATTGAAAAACGTTTTACCTCTTGCTGTACTTGCAGCGCCTAAATTAACAGTAATATATGCAGGTTATACTCAGAAAAAGGCTTAGTAAGTAGAGTGTAATCTTACCTATGACATATTCCAAAATCTATAGAAAGAAATGCAAACCAATACTAAGAATTATCTAGCTCGATTAATATATGTTTTCTGCTTACCATGTTCCATCCAATTATGAAAGCCATTATCTCACCAACAGAAACTAAAAATAGAAGAATAAAGTTAGATTCATGTCATAAGTCTCTATGACACATCAATATTTACCGTATGTGTAAGTGTAAGCACTGCCGGCTCGAGGTGCACGAGCTCCAAATTCTGCATAACATAAGCCTGAAAACAAAACAGATAAATTCCTGTCCAAAATAATAAAAGCAAAAAAGATTACCTGCAAGAATAGAAGCTACAGCAGCAATTAAAAAACTCACAATAACTGCAGGACCAGCTACGCCAGAAGCGACTTGCCCCGTTAGAATATATATACTAAAAAATATGTTTTTATTGATAAAGTACCATAATATTAACTCTTCATTACTTACCCAGTGCCTAACGTAGAACCAATACCTAGAAAGAAGTAAGAGTTAGAATTGAGATAAAAACCATAATATCAGTTTGAACAGAGAAATTTACCTAATATAGTAAGATCAAATACGTTTAGACAACGTTTCAATTGCGATATATGTAATGTTTCTGTATCGTACGTCTTCTTCCGAGTTAGACTGTTATATGCATCGTATATAAGAGTTGCCATGTGATAATCGGCTTAATGAATGATTGTATATATCTAGAAAACAAAGGAAATTGAATTATCAACAGTAAAGACTACGACTAAGTTTGTTATTGCTTTATTCAGACTGTCATACACTCTGCATTCCATGTTAAGACCTGTATAAAAAACTCAAAACAAATAATGAACGACAGTAGTGCCAAATATCAAAAAAAGATTGAATTATTTCATGATCTCGACAGCGAGAACCTCGACTTCCGCTAACTAATCCCATTTTCCTTTCAAGCAGACAGAAGAATATATGAATAATGAAAATGTACTAATAAACATTAGCTTTTGGGCGTATGTATTATTTTTATACTTTTTTATTTTATAGTTTAACTAAATCAAAAATTGAAAAAAAACTTTACCGTTTGATGCTTCGATAGTGGAAATGCTTCCTTTGATTGTTCCTTTGTAGAAATCCTTTTTTTTTCTTTATATTTCGTTAAAAGTTCCAGTGGACCAGACCTTATGCGACATCACATCCGTAACTTTTTTTTCGAGAGCAACAAGAAATATGATTGGAGAATTATTATATTCTCGAAGACTTGACGTAAATGTAATTATTTTAGAAAGAACAAAATAATATGTGATACAATAAAATCTCTTTATTATTATTTTCCATTTTTGTCGCTCAAGATAAGATTTTACTGAAACTTTTTATCAAGCGCTAGTATCAACGTGATTTACGTTGACACTGGCACTTGATGTAATGGAAAATTTTTTAAAGAAACCTTCTCTTAACCATTTTTTCATTATTTAAACATGATAGAATGTTAGTCAACTGTCGTGTAATACATTAACAACAGTCATCTTCTTTTACACTTTCCATAACAGTATTTAATTGATATGAACAACATTGAATATAAGAACAAAATAAACGAAAAGTACAGAAAGTAAAAAAGATAGAAATTTATACTTACGTAACAGATTTTTATGCCTGATCGTTTGGATACAAGGATTATTGTTTTCTGTTCGCTTTAGAAAACTTATAAGTGTCACAGAAACAGGTTTCTCTTTGAGAAAGTTAAAGATACACTAAAAACAAAGCCGAGAGTAAAAATTCAAAAGAAAAAAGACAATAAAATAGAAGAGATATGTATATGACTGTTCATACTAATAAAACACATGAAAAAAAATAATAAAACTCGAGTAAATGATTACTAATTTGGCATAATACTCTATGTATAGAACATAAAAAAAAAAATGTTCTCGTACCACGGGGACGGTATGATTTTTGAATAAAACTCGAGCACGTATTTATTTATGAGTTCATATAGTCGAATGTGTAATTTAGTTGTTGATGTTGTTGTTCATTCTGTGAATACATGATATTATACTGATCATGTCCTATACTATTTCCATCGTACCACGACTGATCATTTGCGGGCTCATATTGACAATGATGACGATAATGGGGTTGCTGATGAAATTCATCCGATGGAAAATAATTTGAGTTATTTGAATCAATGAAATAATTATTGTTCATCATATCATTTTCATACTGTTGCTTATGATATGGTCTTACATCATGGATGAGAGATGAATGACGATTAAAACTACGTTTAGTTATTACTGATGGACGTGTTTGTTTTGTCGTCAACGATAATGGCACTTGTAGATCATTTCGAGGCAATGATAGTGCGGGCACCGGTGATGGACTTGAATTTGAACTCGATGTTGACGTATGACGAGTAACTGGATTTGGAAAATATGAACTATTTGTAGACGATGATGGATAAGATGTATCATAGTTGTTTGACGATGTATGTTCGGACACGGACTTATGACTGGCAAAATTGGATGATGATCGTGTATTTTCGGATTCAGTAGACGTCAATGGTGGAGTTCGACAAATTCGTTTTACGTAATCTAAAAGCATGATTTTAAAACTGCTATAAGAATATCATTCCGTGGTAAGTTCTACGACCATCTTACCATTCTCCGCTACTTCATCAATTAGTTGTGTCGTCAATCCTTCATCAAGACTATAATAAAACAATCGTTTTTTATTAATGTAGCCTATGGATTACTTGATTAATCTAAGTGATTTTGGACTTGCTCAAATTTTTTTCATGGTATAAAACAAAGCATGAACGAATATCTTACCCGAGCACTTCTATTACTAAGATAATAAAGTTCTCATCAGTCGTTTTTGTTGTCATTAATGTTGCTAAAATATCACACCATATCCACTGTTGACCTACGATATGATTTTTATGATTTCCATGGCCAATAATATTTGTCTGAAGACGAATTAAATTCAAAACTAGCTGTTGACGAGTTAACACTAAAATAGATTGTTTACTTTTTTCTATCATATTTTATTATAGAAAATTTTTTTTGACTTGTAATAGAAATGTTCTGAACAAACTCGTTTACAAAAGTTCATCTTCAATAGGCTTAGTTACCTATAATTTTCGTGCTTAAAGTCGAAATGGTTGAATACAATACTTACATTCTCTGTGAGCCGTAGTCAATGTTGATAAATCAGTTTGATGTACGTATAGATAAAACGAGAGATTATGACATGATGGTGAAATATCCCAGTTTAAAATTCTTTGTAATCTAAAAGACAATATATTTGTTTAATAAGAGAAATATATTAAATATATCTCAACCATTCCACGTAACTCAGCCGAAAGCGTGATTTCAATGTTTTTTTCTCTATTTTCTTGTCATTAAATCTTTCCGGAGAATGCTAGGAGCTCGCGATAGTCTCATTTTGTACTGAAAAATGTGCTTAATAAGGCGAGACGTATCAGGCTTCTCTAAGACTCTTGATTATGGAGATATTGCGAATATTCAATACTACGCTTAAAAAATTTTCTTTTTTTAAACAATGTATGTCTCCGTTTTCTTGATATATCTCCATAATCAAGAGTCTTAGAGAAGCCTGATACGTCTCGCCTTATTAAGCACATTTTCCAGTACAAAATGAGACGATCACGTGCTCCTAGCGTTCTCCTGTTTGAAAGATTTAATGACAAGAAAATAGCGGAAAAAGTGTTGAAATTACGTTTTCGACCGAGTTACGTGGAATAGCCGATCTACATACTTTTCATCAATATGCATAATATGCATTGACTGATTCAATTTTATCACGTGTTGATGTTCAGGAATTATAAATTCATTTAGTGATGGACTTAAACAAGGTATTAAAGCAGTACCAACAAAACCGATGATATGATTTGTATTATTAGCATCAGATTTTCGATAATTTGGATGAAGCCATCTATATTCACCAACGATTTGTACAGACTATAAACGAAAACAAAGAATGTATGAGTATATAACAAGATAGATAGATATATATATACTAACTCTGTATCCAGCTGTTTTCATATTAGGTGCACGTTTGGTTAAATTTGATTTCATTCGTATACAAAATGACTTTTTTAAAAATTTTCCATCTCCAGAAACTTGCATTTTTGGATATTGTTCTACTAGAACAAATATATATGTTTCATCGTTAGAGATTCGTTGATAGTACGCAATGAAATTATTCATCAGATTCACTAATCACATTTTCTTTTCTGTGTGATGCTCATCAATGTCTTACCTAAAGATCCAATTGATTCCTGATAATCTGATTCGACATTTGCCATTGGTGAATCTGGCGGTAAAATTTCAAAACCTTGAAGATAACAAAGATTTTATTCAGTAATCATAGTACTGACAATTTAAAAAAAGAAAATCTACCCAAATTATCTGCAAACAATTTCTTGTCATCTTCATGTACATAGTTAAACACAAGATTTCCAGTCATTTCAACCTTAACACATAGACAATTTATAAATATATTTGATAAATAAATAGTATTCAATTTTATTTACCATTGATAAACCAAGACTACTGGAAACAGATTCAGATATATATAATATTCTTCCATCAGCAGCCAAAATAAATATAAAACCATCTAATGACTGAAACAAAACATCAAATATTAGATTCAATGAATTCAATCTTTTTTCCTACAATAAACCTGTAATAGTTGGCATCCTTCGTCGGCACCTAATATACTTAAAATTCGTTTTCTAGATGAAACTAAAAGAGGAATAAGAAATAGAATATATTCAATGTGTTACCCTAGAGTATCAAATAGAGCATTGATAACACTATAGGGATATCAAATATAGAAATTTTGACAGTTTAACACAATATCGTAACTTTCGAAAGCTTACAAAAAGCTAAAGATACTATTTATCTGTAGGTTTTTTTTTTATTAGTTTAGGATCATTGTTGTAGTAAATAAAGAACATACTTGATGAATAATTGGTATCTGTTGTTGTTGATGGCCAAGGTGGATCACCTTTTTGACAAAATGTATTTAATCTTAAATAACTAATTGTCAATCTTATAATTGATGCTTTGTCTAATTGTGTCGCTATTTGTTGTTGTAATGGTAATAATTTTGATAAATCGGTAAATTCTTTATTTTCAGCACTACGACGATGTTTAGCAGCCACACGAGATTTTGCTTTTCTATCGTCAATACTAAATAAAATAGAAATAAAATATATTTAACAATATTTTCAAGGTCAAAAAGCATGAACAACAATTCTTCAGTTTCTATTGGAACATATATTTTTTGTCATATCTTTATTCTCCAATCAATTATCGAGAAAATATAAAGAATGACAAATCTAATAATGACTTCAGAGAAGAAGAAGAAAAAAAACCATATAGAATAAAGACGAAAATAACTTATCATATAAAGTGTATTATACAATACAATTAGAACTTATCAAGAAAATCTTAAATTATATACACGTAACTAGAGAAACTCGGTTTTGGATTTTCCATGTATAATTAATTACAGATGTTGTTTAGAATTGGGCAAGAGATCACAATTTTTAGCGGAGAAAAAGTTGAATTTGGGAAAATACAGTCTGAATTCTATTGAAAAATGGTAAATAAATAGTAGTAAAGAGCGTCCTCATATTTCTGATCATATGATAACAAATATCATACACGAGTCTACTAGACTAGAAAAGACGACTAATTCTTTGTTTAAGAAAAATAATAATAATAAATTCAATTAAAAATGGATAAACATACCCAAAAATAAATCCATCAAATGTAATAGCTGTTTTAAGCAAAAGGTTTGTTGGCATACAAACTTTGTAGAGAATCATACTAGTTGAATTATTTTCATTTATATTAAATGGTGTGAATATGGATTCCATTCTTTCATTCATCATTTTTTTTTTGTTTTGTTTTGTCTAAGCTACTATTTTATCTTCAAATGTTATAGAAACATCTATATTTATACAAATTCAATGTAGAAGTAAATCTACATAAATATACATTTTCAATTTCCTTATTCTTTGTTTCTACTAGATTTCACTTGTTTTTCCTTTTGGAAAGAAAAGAACATAGAGAGAAAAAGAAAAAAATTTCTATGGGTGATATATTCTAATTTTGTGCCTATGTGAATAAAGTTAATATTATTTAATTTAATTGATTTGTCTTTCTTTCTCACTAATTTACTGAACAGAGTTCTCCGCCTTGTCTATACTCTAGTAGACACACAAGACAATAAATATAACACTTTTCTTTTCTTTTTAATCTTATTTGTGACTTAATCATGTTTAATGTCATCAGACTTTTCACACATTTCAAATCGAGACATCATTTTTAGGAATAATTTATAAATAGTGAAAAACAAAAAATAAGCTTATAAACTTAAAAATGAAAGGTAAGAAACTACAGATTTTTGATAATAAAGACATCCAAATCCGTTAATATATCCTTTAAAAAAGATGAATGAAATTTATGAACTGATTCATAGTACACAAATATCTTATAGAAAGAATATTTTAGAAAGTTAGATTCACTTTATGACGACAAATTTACGAGTCTAGTACACTGATAATTTTGCATATATTGACGAAAATTTATTAGTGATTGCTTACAATTTCCATCTATATACACGGAAATCACGTCGATGATCGGCGACTATGACTATAGAAGAAATATACTCTGTCTCTCTCTCTCTCTGAATTGAAAGATAACAGAAACAAATGAAAATAAATTTTGCTCTTACTCGAAATTCTAATATTACAGTTTCTTGTTTGTATATAGTCAAATGTGGATACACTCAAGGAGTACTTCTTCTTTAAAAACAAAAAAATTTAAATCCTACCAGCATGCATCAATTAAACTGATTGATCTTTTGCTGTAATTCTGCTACTATGTAAAGTAATCATTTAATAAGTGCATGCAACTGAATATTCTAGAAAACACAATCGTCATGCAAAAAATAAAACTGCTAAAATTCAAGATCATAAGAATCTTGTAGAAATCTAATTAGACAAAAACAAAAAGCAATTCGTTTTTTTTTTCGATTTTATCTTTTACCAATTTGGCCATCGTCGTTGTATCGTATTTGCTGTATGATGGAGATATTCATTTTCTTGAACATTTTCATAATGAAATGTTGATGATGGTGTTATCATTTGTTGCATACAATCATAAGACGAATAATGTTGCTGCTGATACCAAACCATTTTAAGTCGAAAAAAGAAAAACTATGTCGATTTATTTTATTTTATTTTATTTTTTTGAAAAAAACCAGTGAAATCTATTAGACTATATATTATTGTTACATGAAAATATAATTTTTCGTTCTTTTATCAGCATTGGATATTATTATTTCTTCTATATATATTTTTTTTTTTTTCATATACACATACATTCTCGATATGAGTCAATGTGACTAATTGGGGAATGTGTCGGGAAGACAAAACAAAAAAAAAAAAAGATCTGATTTGTTAAGTTGTATCTATTTAATAATAAAAACAACAAACAGTAGATAGAATGGATGAGTATCGCAGAGAAACATTATTTTTAATGTCCATCGACTTTATACCACAATTACCTCTTTCTGTCTCTCTCTCTCTCTCTCTCTTTCTCCCTTTCTCAAAGAATTATATGTATAGTATTATATATCGATAGTACGTGACTGGTAATATATAGACAACAAAAAAAAAAAAAAAAAAATGATAAAACGAGAGAACAGTGATGATGAATGTACATTGATTGAATCATTTACTATATACAAACAAGATAGAAATTGCATTTCTCTATATATAGTCTCTTACTCGAAACCTTATGATAAAATGAACTAACTGTTGACTGACATCAATATTCGGGAAATAATTTTCGAGTAAAAAAAAACAACAATAACAATAAAAATTTTGTAATACGATCAGTCATGTCATTTGAAAGTAACTTTAAAAGAAAACTGCTTACCGATGCAGACGATGATAATTGTAGAAAATACTTGTTGTCATGTGATATCAATTATTTTTTTTTTTTGTTTTAACAAGTAAGTTATAAAAAATATATATAAACTTGATTTTTAAAATAAAATAATCATTCTAATCTTGTCATATCATCATCATTGCATACGAAAAAAGAGGGACATTTTTCTTTTTTTGTGTATATGTGTATGTATCGTTGCATGTACACTCGTGGGAATGTGGAACTAGAAAGAAAATGATGATCTATCACTAAAATAAAATGTTAATCATTTTCCACTTTTTTTTTTGTGATGAATGTATGTATTATAAACGTTTTTTTTTTTTTTTGGAATAGACACATCAACAACAAAAAAGAATAAAATAAAAACTAAAAAAAAAAAGAAGAAGAAGAATGTGTTTGATTTAATATGATCTAGAACTTAATTGTTCTATGTGTTTGATTAACTTTAGGATATTCTCTGTACAAGAATGTAACAACTGAAAAAACTGATTCAATTGACGAATTATATGCGAGACAAATGTAAAGATTATGTCTTCGACATACATATTATACTATTCGTTACACTTACCAAAACACTAAATTCTGAAACTACAAATTTTGAATATTTTATTTTTTTCTCAATAATCTAGTATTGTTTAGTTTATTCGACGATATTGTGTATTTTTTGTAATATCAAAAAGAATTTGATCATTGTTAATCAACTTTATTATTGTTGTGAATGTAAACTCAATATGCAAGATTTAATTGTTGTTAAATTTAAGAATTTATATAAATCAATTGAATAAAATTATTAAAATGAAAAAATTTGTTCATTATCATACAAAATAAACTATAAATGTTTTTTAAATATAACATTGAACTATTCCAAAAGATTCAGACAAGATTATTTTTACTTTTATCATTACCCATTGACCTCGACATTTTTTTCATTCGAATGTTTAGAAGATAAAAAAAAAAAAATGTTCAACTCTGCGCTTTGGCTCTCTGGAAATCATATCGCTAAAAAAATTTATTCAATTAGATGAAAAAAAATGCAACAAATTTTGAACTTCAGCGAATCTACACAACTATAGTAGTTGTAGTTTATGTTTTGTTTAAATTAGAATAATATTGCAAGACACTTGTTTGATCATCATTCACACTGTTAAACATAAGAGAAAAACACTTTCATCTTAATGATCTTTTGACAATTCATTCTAGGTTTTTTTTTCCTCTATTCTGAAGAGAGAGAGAGAGAGAGAAAAAGGAAACAATATATTCGCGCGGACAAAACTCGATTTGATTATATATTGTTTGTTCTCTCTTTTCATTTGGGAACAATGTTTTAACGAAATAACAAAATAAAAAATAAAAAAAACTTTTTTTTTGATGGGGTGGAGCTGAAACATCCTTTTTTTTTCATTTCAAAATAGATTTATTATTTGTGTGAAGGCAAGAATTAGCATTTTTTTTTTTCTTCTTCTTCTTCTTTTTAATGTCTAAATCAAAAAAATATCTATCTATATACATCCGAATTTTATTAATAGAAAACAGAACCTTTTCGTCGTTGTCAACAATTATAATGGTACCGGATATGGAAAAAAACGAAATCAGTAGAACATCCGTTTTGTATGCCACCATTTTTATCTTTGTATTCACTTTTAAAATGCATCATTTACTAATATGAAACATTGTCTATAGTAAAAAAATTTTTTTAGTCTATTTTCCATAAAAAATCAATGATCAGAATATGTGTGAATCACACACGCGTTTGTTAAAGGTCATGCTTTATTACCTAAAACTTGTCGAGTAATCGAGTGGAACAAACAACACTTGTCAACATATTTTAACTATAGAGAGAAAAGCTCAACTTTTTAACAAGTATAACTACCATAATCTTATCACCACAAATCAAAGAGAGAAAAAAAAACAATATAGAGAGAGATAGAGAGATATCTTTTTTTGAAAGGAAGGCATATACATTGTAAACGATTTATCGAATTTTATAAACAAATCATGAATGAATGAATATAGACAATTTGGCAATTCAGTGATAATACTTTAAATCAAGACAGACTACAATGGAACTAACTGAGAATCTCTATAAAAATTTGTTTTAATATATTCTTAGATAAAATATTTGTGTTTTATGAGAAAACAAATCAAAATACATTTGCCTTAAAAAAGATATTTCATTCATTGAGTTAATAATCATCTGAATACACAACTTTATAACAAACTTGATCCCCAGATTTTAGATCGCCGCTTCAAATGAAAAAAATTGAACTTATTTACTTTTCATGAGTTTGAAAATTCCATTAAGTCTAAACAGTGGATATCTTGTGAAAAACTTCTTTATTTAACTAAGAAACATAATTATCATCATTGAAAATTGACTAATAGAGTGACAATTAGATGACTTTTAATTCCTGTCAATCAATTTCATTCTTATTCATGGACACTTGTACTCATTTTCCTTCTCATTTGATTGACATCAATAGACAAAAACAACTTATCAAACGATTATGCGTTCTATTGTGCATTTTCTAGAACATGGACACATACCTCCTCCTATTTGATAATAAGAATAACATTATCAACTATGTTGTTCAATAAAAAAACGTTTAACCAAAATTGAGTTCATAATGAAAGATTATCTATATACACACACTTGTAATAATATAAAATGACACAAACAGAAACAGTTGTCACAATAACGTTATAGTCTAGTATATTAAATATTCCAAATAGATGTTGCTTCTACTGCTTCTGATGATAATGATACTATGATTGATTATAAACGAACTAATGACTTGGTACATCTGTGAATAAAAAACTACCATTAATCGTCTGATGATAAGCATGTGTCTTACATACAAAGGAAGAGTGTCATTGAGAAGATGATATCATCAGATCAATTGATTTTTTTTTCTTCTTTTTTTTATATGATTATAAATATTTTTTAGAGGGATATCACAGTCATCTTTCTTTATTTCCTTCATTTCTCTAACTCGATTAATAAAACCGGATGTATAATACATTAACAGTCAATTTTGTCCGATGTGACTCGTTAAAAAAGCGAAAATCAAATGTATCATACCGACATATATTTAACATATACATATACACACTACCTATCATCAAATCTAAAAACATCTTTCATGTAGTATCAGTCAAGTTACGCTATAGAGAATTAACGATATCAGAAGTAATAGACTATTAGATTCCTCTCTTTTTTTTTATTCATTCATTCATTCTAACTTATATGCATAATATGCATACTTCTTTTTTTATCTGTATACTCACTATCCGAAACCTAACACATAGTCATTTATCTTTATCATGATGATAGTTAACTGCTCTGATGTATATACAAAGTGACTGTTTATACTTTTTTCAGAAAGAAAGGAAACAAAGAAAAATTGTTTTTTTTTTTGACTGTTTTGCATATAAAATAGCTAAAAATATTCAAACAGAAGAAAATGTATATGTAAACTATGCTCGGGTCCAGGGAGCCTACATCTAAAACACGAAAATCAGAAAATAAAAGTCCAAAATCAGAAAAAACCTGAGAAAAAGAAGTAGAAAATCAGTAGACCTTAGGGCAAAAAAGAGCAGAAACGAGGTAGAAAAAGTTCCCAAAATCAGAAGATCTGGGATCCCTGATCGTCATCTCCTTCCACTATAGTTTCAAAATAAATCCAGTACATTCATTTTTCGAATCGGTATACTTAGTCTAATACTGGAATAAGCAAAAGGTAGCCGTATTGAGTTAATAGCAAGAAATGTTTTTAATTGTTATATCAGTATTTCTTATGTCCAAGAAATGTTTTGCTGTAAAAATACATATAAAAATTATTAGCATTTCTTATTGGTAATTCAATACGTTCACTCAATTTATTTTATATAGTTAATTAATTTTGTTTGGTTTCTGAAGAGAATGTGCTATAAATTTCTTTTATTTGAAAAATATAAAAAAATAACAAGAGAAACCTTATCATCCGAACACTAAGTATGTTAATCAGTTTATGTATTATTTTTAAAAAATATTGAAGAATCGGAGTCGTTGTGCTGACCACTGAACAGGAAACAAACATCAGAAGTAAGTTTGTAACGTTTAGGAGAGTTGACTGTAAAGGAATTCTATCTTTTACTGAGTTTATCATACAATAGACTGAAATTTTAGTGCTGTATAACGAATATATATAGCGCAGAAGACAAGAGGAGAGTGATGCAACTATTAACAATGAGGGAGAGAGAGAAA